TACAAGAGGCAAACGGCTGTTTACGCGTGTACCATACCCACCACCCACCACCAACTACGCGCGTAACACACGGTTTGCCGCCATCACCATCGCTGTCATCGTCGATATGACGAACGTGGTCACCGTACCATTATCGGAGTCAAAATGCCTCTCCAAACTACCGCTTCGCACGTGTAAGAGTTGGAAGAAAAGCTGTGGCTGTGTTCTAACTTGCTTTGATTTTTGTATCATCACTTTCGTAACTATGCTAATACATTTAGGCGTCGACCGTGCAATTTACAACGTTGACGTAGCTTTCTCAGTACCCGCTTGATGTGATGGCAGTTGACACAGCTTCTTCACGCCATTTCCTCGATCTCCGAGAGAACTCACAACCTGCTTACCTGCTTGTTCATTTCAAGTCACAACGCAATTTGCCTCCGATATCTAAACCAGCTCCCACACAGTACTGTTAACAACATGAAGTTCACAGCTTTCGCCGTCGCTGCTGCACTCGCTGCCACGACCGTCATTTCTGCTGACACGCCTGCGCTACAAGCTCTTACCGACGTCACCGCAACTGAAGCTATGCAGCCCACTGCAGATGCACCGAAAGAGGATGACGACCAAAAGGAAATGGGCTGGGAAAATCGTGGTTGGGGACGCGGTGAGACACGGACATGGACACGGTGGCTGGGGACACGGACACGGACACCGTGGTCGGGGATGGTAAGCGCTGCCAACAGCTGGACGAGCTCAACTCTTACCTGATCACACGAAAATCGTATGCTGGAAAGCTTTCGTTTTCGTCGTCAAATACATTCTACTGCTCTTGGCTATTGACTCGTTTATGCCGTCTATTCAAGCGAAGTAGTTGCTATAACGATTGAAATCAAATCGAACGTTTGTGATGTCACTCGATATTTGATTCTCCTTGTAATTTCAACAATTTCATCTGCTTCGGCCATAACGGTTCTTGTCAATTGCAGCTGAAAATGCTACAGGTGTGTCATCCGATTATCGACAGAATGATATTGACGACGTCAACCCATCATAACACCGCACGAGATACGACAAGATCGTAGTATATAGCATGGTGGAATGCCATGAATGAGTCGAACGCTACGTGGTGATACAAGAGGCAAACGGCTGTTTACGCGTGCACCATACCCACCACCCACCACCAACCACGAGACGCAACACGAAGTTTGCCGCCATCACCATCGCTGTCATCGTCGATATGACGAACGTGGTCACCGTACCATTGTCGGAGTCAAAATGCCTCTCCAAACTACCGCTTCGCACGTGTAAGAATTGGAAGAAAAGTTGTGGCTGTGTTCTAGCTTGCTTTGATTTTTGTATCATCACTTTCGTAACTATGCTAATACATTTAGGCGTCGACCGTGCAATTTACAACGTTGACGTAGCTTTCTCAGTACCCGCTTGATGTGATGGCAGTTGACACAGCTTCTTCACGCCATTTCCTCGATCTCCGAGAGAACTCACAACCTGCTTACCTGCTTGTTCATTTCAAGTCACAACGCAATTTGCCTCCGATATCTAAACCAGCTCCCACACAGTACTGTTAACAACATGAAGTTCACAGCTTTCGCCGTCGCTGCTGCACTCGCTGCCACGACCGTCATTTCTGCTGACACGCGTGCGCTACGAGCTCTTACCGACGTCACCGCAACTGAAGCTATGCAGCCCACTGCAGATGCACCGAAAGAGGATGACGACCAAAAGGAAATGAGTATGGAAAATCGTGGTTGGGGACGCGGTGGAGACACGGACATGGACACGGTGGCTGGGGACACGGACACGGACACCGTGGTCGGGGATGGTAAGCGCTGCCAACAGCTGGACGAGCTCAACTCTTACCTGATCACACGAAAATCGTATGCTGGAAAGCTTTCGTTTTCGTCGTCAAATACATTCTACTGCTCTTGGCTATTGACTCGTTTATGCCGTCTATTCAAGCGAAGTAGTTGCTATAACGATTGAAATCAAATCGAACGTTTGTGATGTCACTCGATATTTGATTCTCCTTGTAATTTCAACAATTTCATCTGCTTCGGCCATAACGGTTCTTGTCAATTGCAGCTGAAAATGCTACAGGTGTGTCATCCGATTATCGACAGAATGATATTGACGACGTCAACCCATCATAACACCGCACGAGATACGACAAGATCGTAGTATATAGCATGGTGGAATGCCATGAATGAGTCGAACGCTACGTGGTGATACAAGAGGCAAACGGCTGTTTACGCGTGCACCATACCCACCACCCACCACCCCCCCAACCACGCGACGCAACACGAAGTTTGCCGCCATCACCATCGCTGTCATCGTCGATATGACGAACGTGGTCACCGTACCATTGTCGGAGTCAAAATGCCTCTCCAAAATACCGCTTCGCACGTGTAAGAGTTGGAAGAAAAGCTGTGGCTGTGTTCTAGCTTGCTTTGATTTTTGTATCATCACTTTCGTAACTATGCTAATACATTTAAGCGTCGACCGTGCAATTTACAACGTTGACGTAGCTTTCTCAGTACCCGCTTGATGTGATGGCAGTTGACACAGCTTCTTCACGCCATTTCCTCGATCTCCGAGAGAACTCACAACCTGCTTACCTGCTTGTTCATTTCAAGTCACAACGCAATTTGCCTCCGATATCTAAACCAGCTCCCACACAGTACTGTCAACAACATGAAGTTCACAGCTTTCGCCGTCGCTGCTGCACTCGCTGCCACGACCGTCATTTCTGCTGACACGCGTGCGCTACGAGCTCTTACCGACGTCACCGCAACTGAAGCTATGCAGCCCACTGCAGATGCACCGAAAGAGGATGACGACCAAAAGGAAATGAGTATGGAAAATCGTGGTTGGGGACGCGGTGGACACGGACATGGACATGGTCATGGACATGGACATGAACACGGGCACGGGCACGGGCACGGACACCATGGTCGGGGATGGTAAGCGCTTCCAACAGCTGGACGAGGTCAACTCTTTCCTGATTACACGAAAACAGTTTGCTGGAAAGCTTTCGTTTTCGTCGTCAATTACATTCGACTGCTCTTGCCGTCTATTCAAGCTAAGTAGTTGCTATAACGATTGAAATCAAATCGAACGTTTGTGATGTCACTCGATATTTGATTCTCCTTGTAATTTCAACAATTTCATCTGCTTCGGCCATAACGGTTCTTGTCAATTGCAGCTGAAAATGCTACAGGTGTGTCATCCGATTATCGACAGAATGATATTGACGACGTCAACCCATCATAACACCGCACGAGATACGACAAGATAGTAGTATATAGCATGATGGAATGCCATGAATGAGTCGAACGCTACGTGGTGATACAAGAGGCAAACGGCTGTTTATGCGTGTACCATACCCACCACCCACCACAAACTACGCGACGCAACACGAAGTTTGCCGCCATCACCATCGCTGCCATCGTCGCTATGACGAACGTGGTCACCATACCATTGTCGGAGTCAAAATGCCTCTCCAAACTACCGCTTCGCACGTGTAAGAGTTGGAAGAAAAGTTGTGGCTGTGTTCTAACTTGCTTTGATTTTTGTATCATCACTTTCGTAACTATGCTAATATATTTAGGCGGCGACCGTGCAGTTTACAACTTCACGCCATTTCCTCGATCTCCGAGAGAACTCACAACCTGCTTACCTGCTTGTTTATTTCAACTCACAACGCAATTACGGGAAGGGATGGGAGAAGCTGCGCTAACCGCCAACAAGCCAAGCAGGTACCCAGAAAGCTTCGCACGAGGGTCGTTAAAGCAAACAAGAAGTTTAAAGGTAACTAGATAATGGAAAGTTTGTTTGACAAAATGTAAATGAGCCAGTCATGTATTCGAAGACATCGCCATTTCAGCGGGTTCGACATCAGCTCACAACGCATTTTGCCTCCAATACCTGAAGCAACAGAGCCAAGAGTGTCAAGATCATGAAGTTTACAGCTTTTGCCGTCGCGCTCGCTATAACGACCGTCGCTTCTGCTGACAAGCCCGCGCTACGAGCTCTTACCGACGCCACCACAATCGATGTCCCTGCAACTGAAGCTATGCAGCCCACTGCAGATGTGCCGAAAGAGGATATCGACCAAAAGGAAATGGGTATGGAAAATCGTGGTTGGGGACGCGGTGGACACGGACACGGACATGGACATGGTCATGGACACGGACACGGACACGGACATGGACACGGGCACGGACATGGACACGGACACGGGCACGGGCACGGACATGGACACCATGGTCGGGGATGGTAAGCGCTGCCAACAGCGGGAGGAGCTCAGCTCTTCCCTGATCACACGAAAACAGTTTGCTGGAAAGCTTATGTTTCTGTCTTCAGTTACCTTTTAAGTTACCTTCTGCTGCTCTTAGCTATTGACTCGCTTATGCCGTCTATTCAAGCTAAGAATTGCTATTTGCTATAATGAGTGGAAAAGAATCGAAACGTTTGATGTCATCGATCTTTTCAATTTTTTCGTTGTTGTTGTTTTTAATATTTTTGTATTGCTTCAAAGGGTTCTTGTCAATCGCAGCGGAATTCTTGTAGCAAATTTCATTGTAATTGCCAGCGATATTCCTTGACGCTAAAAGCATTTACGAAATACAAAAACTCGTGACTTAATCTCTAGTTTTTTACGTTCATGAGCGAGTCTACCGCTATGTGGTGATTGTAGAAGAGGCAAACGGCTGTTTGAAGTGTTAGCATCACTTTTTGCCTCAGCTTGTTTTTGGTCACTATTGCAAGGTAACCAATAATCGTCCAGTTCGATTAACCGGTCCGGTCCCAAATCATGAGTGGTCGTCAATCCGTGGCCTGGCCAGTCATTTCACCCTTTGTTCCTATTGGGCGCTCTCCTCTCTCTCTTCCCGTTTGTATAGCGACAATCACTATCTTGTATTTTGTATACAATATCCTCTGGTAGCGATTATGACCGTTTGACGTCCATTAATTCTTTGGGACAAATAGGAAGAAAGATTATGGTGTCTTTGAAGCTTCAGAAGCGGTGCGTTTGCATAAGCTACTGCAACAATAAATAGGTCACGAAACAAGATGCAGAATATATATATATTGACAGTCTTTTCCTCTTAATGTTCTCTGTAAATCTCCAGTCTGGCCGCGTCCGTGCTCAAATGTGGCAAACGTAAAATCTGGCTCGACCCGAACGAGTCGAACGAGATTGCGCTGGCGAACTCACGCCAGAACATTCGTAAGCTTGTAAAGGATGGCTTTGTCATTAAGAAACCGCAGGTGATCCATTCGCGTGCTCGCTTTACGAAGCGTAACGAAGCGAAACGTAAAGGTCGTCACACTGGTATCGGTAAGCGTCGTGGTACGGCGAATGCTCGTCTACCATTCAAGGTGATTTGGATGCGTCGTATTCGTGTCCTTCGTCGTCTTTTGCGCAAGTACCGTGAAGCTAAGAAGATTGATAAGCACATTTACCATGAGCTATACATGCGTAGCAAGGGTAATCAGTTCAAGAATAAACGTGTGCTTATGGAGACCATTCACAAGATGAAGGCTGAACGTCATCGCGAAAAGACACTCAAGGAACAGTCGGAGGCCCGTAAGGAAAAGGCAAAGCTTGCTCGAGAGCGTAAGGCGAAAAAGGCTGCCGTCCCTGTTGTGGCTAAGAAGGAGTAAGCCGTGCTTCTTAAAGAGTCGATCGACACAGTGACTTTATTGCACACGTGAATAGGAATAAATTCTTCCCAAAGATGCTTGCATCTTTTGTCCCACCAATTATTTTATAGTCCTTGACAAGGTGTAGCCATTTACTGAAGCTCTTGGTGGGTTGTGCTGTAAAGATTGTTCCATACCCATCTTCTGTCACGAAACTTTATACGAACATAAATTGAAAACCTCTTCACAAAATGACCGAGGAAATAATGAACTCGAGCTCTTCCATCTCTAAGGCGAAGTTATACGAGGTAAACATGCTTTCTGGGCACTAATAGAGAGGCATACAAGTGACTAAAATTTGCCGTTATGTATAGACGTTCGACGTGCTGCCCAACCTCATCGATGTACTGAAGGACGTCCTCTCGGCCAGCTCCAACCAAGAGACGATACGGATCGGAGACGTTTCGGCCTCGGTACGCAATGATCTTTTGTAATTGTTGATACAAAGACGAGGCTCGTCTCATGCTCATGCTCATGAACTGCAGGCAGTGTCCGTAAAACAGAAGTACACTGAAGCAATGGAGTTGCTGCGCTCGTTGCCGGGGACAGATACGTCACTGGAAGAGCAGGAGGCCGCTATTGCCGACGCAAAAGTCGAGCTCAAGCGCATTTCGTACGTTTTGGACTGAATGAAATGGCGAATGATTGTGTTGCAATGTTAATGGACCTTTTCTTTTGTCATGGTAATGATGCTGTTTGACTACAGAGACGTATTGGAGCTCTACAGCAACACATTGTATCGTGGAACGGACGAACCGCGAGCAGAAATCAACGATGCTTTCTCGCGCAAGAGTCTTCTCAAGTAAGCAACAATTAAATGAACCTGGTAACCTTTCGTGAAGTAGTAAATGTATAGACCTTGTTAGGTCACCCGCACACGGAGAAAGATGAGGTCATTTTCCACGTTGTTGTCTTGTTGTATCAAATGCTTCACTTGCTTACGTGAGCTTAGTAGAAACCTAAAAACCCGAGGAACTTTTTCGAAAATTCTACGCCCAGGAAACAGGCGGCATTGGCAGGAAATGCGCGAGCCATCGCAGGCCCTACGCCGGTGAAAAGCGCACCAGGTCCCTCTTGTTTCATGAGTACCTGAAAACAATGCACAATGCCGCGGTACGTGCCTTCTGGCGCGGTTTGAATGCGTGACTTGATCACATCAGGAGGAATAGCAATGACCCAGTTGATAACTCCCGCAAAGCCACCAGCCACGAACACATGGAACGCATTCAAGTCGGATGGATTCTTGTCTTTGGGCGTAAGACCACGTTTAATTGCTTCAAAACCACCAAAATATCCCACAGAGCTAAATCAAAGTAGGACATCAAAAAGTTAGTCACCTCAGTCATGTAAAGTAGCTTCAGATTACGCACCCTGGCACATCACGCAGCAAAGTTGCTTCCCAGCCACGGAAAATGCTTGATAGACCGCCCGTGCGGTACAGTTTCTTGGCACAATCAACCATGCCATTGTACAGCTTAGGTTCACCACGTTCCACGGCCTGTGCTTGGATCTGAAGCAAGCATTTGATGCGCTCACCAGGTGCCATGATCACAGTAGCCGGAATGGCTGAAAATCCGCCTGCAAACATGATCTGCCCCATAGATAAAGGTGCCGTTGGCGACTGGTTCGACGCCTTAATCTACAGGTAGTGACATGTATTGCATTAGAATAAAACAAGAGTTTTAACCCCACTATAAAGAATGACAGAGTATTCTAACCGCAATAAGTTTGCCCATGTCGTAGCCCCAAAAGCACGTAGCAAAGATAGGAGTGACACCCACTAGCGGTGCCGACATGCCACGGTACAAGCCACGAATCTGCATTGAGCAATTGATCACAAGTGCCCCAGAGTAACATATCAGCATCTTCATCCCTTTCACGTTCATCTGTTACATTCAAATATTCGTACCCCGTCCTTAGCAATCATTTTTCGAGCACAGTCGATAGCATTCGTGTACATGGGCGCCTGACCGAGCAGAGGCTTTGGTTGCGTCTGCATGTTAACCTTAATGAGGTCCAGAGGGTGACCTGTTGCCACGAGGCACATGCCTATGTACACAATGTAATTGTTAGTGTAAGTATATAGAAGATAGGGTACAATTGTATTCAAATGATTGCTCGAGTTGAACGTACCGCCGAATCCACCGGTTAGGAAGGACACGACACCAGACGTCGCTGTAGAGAGAAAACAGAGAAATTGACGGTTATTAGTAAGGATGGAAAGCAACAAAATTGCAAACTAATCATGACGTACGTTTATTCGTGGCTTCCTCACTCATTTGTAAGAAATAAAATTAAAAGAAGTTTGAGGGGATTGGAGCAGATTGAAAAATGCGGCACGTTCGGGTGTTTAAATGGACTCGCCGTTTTTTTTACGTGTGCACTTCAAGTTAACGCTGACTAGCCTTCAGTATGGTTGAAATGGCAAGATCGCTATCAGATTTTAAGGGTCTATACTTGATTCTTGTATGTAATGCGAATTGATTTGGATTTGAAGGAAATTAGCTATTGCGTTTCGCAAGTTTCAGTCTGACCATGGCGTAACACAATTCCGACGAGTGAGCATTATTGGACAAGTGGCCATGAACGCCCAAGTATAATTGATAAACATGATTACACAAGTCCATCGTATATTAGAATATACAACGGTCACTGGTAGTGTAATGTCATAAGAATGAAAGAGGCTGTCGTATTTTTAAATTGCCACTGAAGGACAATTACGGAACATTAACACCCTTTGGGAACCGCGCTGGGTTGCTACCTGCTAATACATCTATTAGAAATCTTTTCGGACCCGTAACGTTATGATTATTGCAACAATGAGCTTCTGCTTGCACACATTTGGTGCTGTGGCGGTGCGGAAGAACTGTGTATGCCAGGATGAACAACCTATTTACCACCCAACAATAGCCTGCTGGCCAGTCGTTTGAGCGCTGCCTCTGTCTCGTGTCGCCACGCATGCAAGCAAGTCGTAACTTGACTCATATTAAGAAAAATGACAGGTCGATATAGGCTCACCAAGAACCCGACAGCAAGTCTTGCAAGGGTTACACCTGAATCGTCCACGCCAATCCATTCAAGTCGAGACAACCCACGTCGTATTGGTTGTAAAGTCGTCGATTTCGATCAATCACACGACACGGCTTTTGTCCGTATCCTGTTTTGAATTCGGAAGCACCGGGAATTGGTATTCAACGTCTTGAAATATTGCTGGTTTAGACTTACTAATTGTATGTCAAAGGCAACATTTACCGTGTTTTATCATATTCTAACCGGCCTGTTTCTGGCGTTTCGATTCCCTAGTATTTTTCTACTCTCACTTTCTCTTCTGCCGATGGCTCGCTCCGTGCTCATTGCTCATTTTTCAGTCTGGGACGCAAGTGTTTCCTAGCAGCCTACCAGCTAAGAAAAAGCGTCTTGAAGAAAAGGCATTTTGTACAATTGAGCTGTGGCCGTACAGTAGATTAGTGCGTTCTCCCAACACTCTATTCTTCTGTCTCCACCATCTTTTCTTGTCACTGGCAACAGCAGCGCTGTTCTGTTTGTGCTTGTTCGTCTCTCCTGGCTCTTGACTTTTACACACTCTACTGGTCTTCCACGTAATGGAAGTGCAGATCAACACGATGCCGATCAATCAAAATTCCAAGAAGCGAAAGAGTCTCTTCACCGCCGTGCCATCCTCTGCGTCGTGTGTGTCGGTCTGCAGCAGTTTGCGCTCGCCCATGACGACACCGCTATCAATAGCACCGACGTCACCTTCGTCTACAACCTCTTCATCATCTGACAATATCAATCTGTCAACTGCCTTAACGGCGCTCAAGGTATCACTCAAGCGCGACTTTGAAAGCGTTGCACCGCCTACACCGGCCGTCTCGCCAGCCCACGGTCGTAGTGGAGCCAAGCGTACCCGATTCGACTTTGACGAGCTTGAAGCGTCAGACGCTGAAGAACAAGGCCGATTCAAGGCTCCAGCACCACCTACGACTGTAAATGCGTTGCTGGCTGTCAGCAATCGCATCAAGTTTGAGCTGGACAAGCGTCGACGTAAAGAAAGTGAACGTGTACAGAGACCTCGCAGAAGAAAACAATTGAGCTACTTTGCTATCGTTGGAGCCTTTCAGCGTGCAGCGCACGAGCGCGAAGTCGCCATGCAGCTTGAATGCGTCGTTGAGGCGTCGACGGATTGAAAAGACGCATTGTCGAGCACTAATAGCTGTTCGTCTGACTGGATGGAGACTTTCTGCGGCATATCGAGCTATCTATTCGAGTAATAGTTCTGTGCAAATTAACTATCGTACTAATACAGAGAAACATATCATATGCTTGGCTTCGTGACGATCATGCCAACGACATCGAATCGAGGTGTCGCTAAAGCCACACGCACATGTCGCGACATTTTCCAGACACATCAAAGGTCGCATTAACCGCCTATGCATTCGTTACACTTGCTAACGTAGCACGACATACACGCTAATGGTATGCTGTTGTCAAAGTTCTAGACCGAAATCGATCAGGTCTTTAGCTACTGAGCTCATGAATGACAGGATGCTCACAAGTCAGCACTTATATATCGAAAAAGTAGGAACAGAAAGCCGTTTTGACGGTAAAGTCGCATTAATCGCCAGTTCATGTGACGTTGTCAAACGAAAATGATCGGTGATAGGTTTTTATCAGCGGCGCAATGAACGTTGTTTCGTGATGTACAGGAACACAATATTGTGTAGAAACGGCGTGCTCAAGCGTCACCAGCCATCCCATTCCTTCCTGCACCACGACCATGACTAACGCCGTAGCCGCAGCTGAAAGACGCACCCAGAGCTACCTATCCAAGATTGAAAATGGTCAGGTATTGACCACCACATCACTAGATGCTCTTAGAACAGAGTTGCCAGCCTACCAGCAGATCAGAGGCAAAGTGCGCGACGTGTACGTGTTCGAGGACCGTGTATTGCTCGTATCTACGGATCGCCAGTCGGCATTCGACCGTGCGCTGGCCTCTGTACCATTCAAAAGCCGCGTGTTGACGCTAACAAGCGTCTGGTGGTTCAACCAGACCAAACACATTGTAGCCAATCACCTGTTGGACGTGCCACATCCGTCTGCGATGATGTGCAAGAAATGTTCCGTCTTTCCCGTTGAGTTTGTCGTACGTGGCTACATTACAGGATCAACAAGTACAAGTATGTGGACTAATTACAAGAATGGCAGTCGTGACTTTTGCGGTCACAAGCTGCAGGACGGCTACAAGCAGCACCAGAAATTGCCCGAGAATCTTGTTACTCCTACGACGAAAGACGAGCACGATGAACTAATTTCAGGTCTTGAGATCGTCCGTAGCGGACGCATGACACAGGAGCAGTGGAACTATTGTGAGAAAAAAACGCTCGAACTTTTTGCTTTTGGTCAGAAGCAAGCGGCCAAACGCGGTCTCATTCTCGTCGACACCAAGTACGAGTTTGGTTTGGACGAGACTACGGGCAACATTTTGCTTATTGACGAGATCCACACACCCGACTCGAGTCGCTACTGGCTTGCGGATACGTATGAGGCGTGTATGGCTGCTGGTAAGTCACCGGACAATATTGACAAAGAGTTTTTGCGTCTGTGGTTCAAGGAACACTGCGACCCGTATAAAGACACAGAGCTGCCAAAAGCTCCCAAGGAGCTGGTCAGCGAGCTTTCTCGTCGCTACATTTTGCTTTACGAGCTTATTACGGACTCAGTGTTTGAGTTTCCAGCTGACGGAAGCAAGCCTGAAGACGAGCTCATCGAGGGCGTGCGAAAGACTATGCTCTCCAAGTAGATCAATAAGATAAGGTTGGTGGTTTCTTTAGACCAATACATGTGAATACATCCAATCCAATCGTGTATTAGTCATTAAGATCATGGATTTTCTGCCGTCGGAGCCTTCTGTCCTAATCCAGCGATTCATTAACCACCATGACTCGGCATGAAGTCCAACGCGACAAAGTCTAGAATGCTGCTGCACACTACATACAGTACAAGCATCAAACTAATGCTCAAAGAGGCTAGCGAAGTACTCGCCTTCGCTCAAAAAAGCATTTCTGCAGGTTCTAACTCATTTTCTTGGTGCAGTATGAAGCCGACAGTATGCTAGAATCACGCCCACATACCACACTTGTTTTATAATCGCTTCAGCTCAGGCTAAAACATCGTGTGGAGATCATAATCATATGGCGATTTCCTATTCTATGGCAGTTGTTGAACGGTGCATCATTACTTATACATTTGAATCAAGCCCACTTTAAACGCAATTTTCACGAGTTGAAGCCAATATCACTTGTTTTTTGTATTAGATAAGTTGAAGTGGAATTTTGTCGAATACTCGTGAAGTCTTCAAGCGACGCCGAGAGAGAAAATGAAGTCGCTAAAAACACGAAACGCCGGACAAGTAGCGCAGCTGTCAAATAAGTTTGTATCTTGATCATTCATGCCACTGGTCAGTGGTGCTCAGTGGTCACCTGACTAACCATCTGTAGAATTCCACGAAGTACCGCTAACGTTCTGAATCTTCCGATGCGAAGGGATGGGGTGGTCGCTTCAACCTTTCACTATCCGATTTCAAAGGTCTGTTGACTTTGAATTTGTATAGAACATGATTCAATGTGCACATAGCGTCGTCGGTATTAATTGTAACAGGTGTTAAAATATTAGCGTCTTGTCATAATGAAACGCAATCAAACTTGGCAGATGCTTCTCACTTGACTGTCGCCACAATGGCCGCAGAGACAGACAGTCATTACACCATCTGCCGTGTGCACCAACAGTCATCAAATTTATCATGACCACTAATACCCAAACATCCCTCAATCTTGACGACATGCTCATGGGTGAGATCCTCATGTCACTCAAACGAGGCAATCGCCCTGACAACGTCGTCATACCCCAAGCAGCGACTTATTACCACAAGATGACGAACTTATCCGTCAACTTGTCTCTGCCATCTGTCTCTTCTTTTCCACCTGGCAGTACCAACCTTGTCGACAACTTCAACTTGGATACTTTTCGTGTATCATCTCCCATGACTGATAAAGTATTACCATCTTCTTCTTCTTCTCCTTTTCAACCCCTTCTATCCATGACACCTCGAAGCGTCAATAAACGTTACGGTCCCGTTGTCCACCTTGAAGACTTGCGCAAGTGTTTTAATATGCCCATTGCTGCCGTCGCCCAGAAATTTGGAATTTGTGTGACATTACTCAAGAAAATCTGTCGACATCATGGGATTCAACGCTGGCCACATCGTCAGATTCGTAGCTTGGAAAAGAGTATCGACATGTTACGCGAGTCTTTGGATTCAGCTAAAGGCACAAACAAAGATTATGTTGCCAAGAAGATTATGGCCTTTGAGTACACACTCGAGTGTATCATACAAGACCCTAATGCAGCAGCTAAAGGCATCTTGGCCGGACGATTGGCTTCGCCTGCTACTGAAGAGACGAACAAGCGTGGCAATCGAGCCAAAAGTCGCAGATTAAAGACACGAGCTGCAATGTCGGATAATGAAGACAAAGTTTCAGGTTCTACTGATGTTTTATCAGTAAAGACGATGCCGAGACAACAAGATTGGATGCCAAAGAGTGGGTCCAGGCGTCTCAATACGCGTCGAGCGAGTTTACCCATGTCACTTCAGTCGATTCTATGCTGATTGTATGGAGAAGGGATGCAAAGGATGATGTTTTTTTTAGTCTGTCTAGTGTTTAATGTGTAGTAGAAACGCCCTGCAAGACGCTCTCTTAGAAGGAGGAATTGCTGTAGAAGACAGTGTCAATGAGATCAACAGTTTGACAAGGTGAGGTTCGAGATGCAACTATGTCGTCTTCGAGATGCTCGTCGTACTGGGCTTCTTCTAGTTACGATGGAAGAGGCAAAAAGTTGATGCAAGCAAAATTATGTTACTAAACCCATCGATGACGACTACTGCTTTGGTAATGAGACCGTAGTTATGTCTTGGACACCTTCTCCTTCTTTCGCATCTGGTACTCAATTGCATCGACTTCAATATAATGCTGAATTTGTTGTCTTGTAACGGTGATATCCTCAGCCGAGAATGCAGTAGATGTGATCAAGGCCTCAAGATGATTATCCGTCACGTCCTTGCTGATCACTCCATTATTTTGAGCCAGCAGACCGAGATCCAAACAGTTCTTCAGAATCACCTCAGCAAACTTCAGCACGTAAGCACCACAATCGTAGCTGTTCTCCTGAAGTGGGGTATCTACATTCAAGGTCAGCACGCGATCTACTTCATACTCCGACACCGAGGCTGCTTTAATGTCGCTAAAATATTCTTCTTGCAAGTTTTTTTCCCACTGCATTCGCAAAAATCTACCGCATCATCACCAAAAGTAAACGCAATGAGGTCAACAGTCAATTCATCAAGCACAATGACAGTACCTACGCTCTTAAATTGCGAATGATAGCTGCTTTGCGATGATATGATCCAAGTGGATCCAGCACCGCGATACATGAGAAGGCTTCCTGTGTAAACCAAAAGTTACCACGTGCCACAATACATTACTGAGTCGAGCAAAACCTCAGTAGAGCGCTGCCTCGTACTGACATACCTCATCTCTGGGGTCAGTTCCTGCGACACCAGGGTTCACGATGACGGCAAGACTCCAATGAAAACTAGAAGACAAAAAGAAAAAAAAAGAGTTTGATTAGCACGCACATGCTCGATAAGTGAGCCACAAGACCCGACTTACTCCTTATTGATTGGAATAAATATGATCGAGCGGCTGAATAAGTTAGACCGTGCAAGCCATGTCGACACATTCTTGTACCCGGCCTCCATACGTTCACTTGTGGTAGAGCCCATTCCGGCTCGTAGCCGGGAGTAGAAGTGCGAGCTCAAGAAGAGCACCTTTTCTTGAACAAGTTTATTGTTTTGAAAGGTCTGTAGTATCATGCGCCTGTGGGAGCACATCAAATACAGTGTCAATGTTGGCCACCAGTTTGTTATCGAAGCCCACTTACTTAAAATAATAGTCAATGATGTTATCGTTCAGGTACCGCCTGGGCTTCAGTCGCGATACGTCGTGCCGAACGATTGTGACAATATCATTCGTGCAGGGTGGCGGCGGGTATGTTAGCACGGTGATGTCACCGCAATTATCCTCTTCGTCTGATTCTGATGCGCTATACAAACGCAGCATGACATTACACAGCTCAGCTTTACTCTATTTGAAGCAAAAAGCACTACCAGTCAATACATACGTGTCCCTCGCAGCGTCGCTCTTTCGCCGTCGAGTGCGCCGACTTAATTTATAATCAAACGGATCTTTCATTAAAGCTTGGAGGTGCTCCATTGCTTGCTCCTTGTCATCTCTGCAGCATAAACACGAAAAGAAAGTGAGACCGCTGAGTTCTCTTAGCAAAAACCCGGTTGCACAGTACATTAGTTGTACGTCGGCATGTTCTCCTATGATATTTGTAATATCGCCCAGACTATCGCCCGAAGCGTCCTCCAATTGAAGAAGGACCATGAACCCTTTGGAGACATCTACGATTATTCATGATAATCAACGCGTCTAATTAGTGTCAACGTTTACACTTGATCATCTGGTTTGTGACCAAAGTACTCCCACGTACCGGGACTCGAAGGATCATAGAAGGTTTTCACCGCAGCTTGATCAGTTGCCTCTGGCATCGGCACTTTAAAGGCTATAAACGATACTTCTTCCAGCAAGTGTCTCCTGCAATTGATCTCACGAACTTCGACTTCTGCACTTACGTCAACCTCACTAGTGGCACTGTACACTCTGCAAACATACATGAGTCGTTCAGCACTGGCGTTGACATCGCAGCATCATAGACGTACCATATCGGTACATACCTAACATCCTGCAGGTGTTTATATTCCAGCAAGTAAAACTGCTTGAAGGGCCAAATTTCGTATTTTCCTCGAATATTTCCCATGTATATCCGATCAGCCTGAAAAAAGAGGTCGACAATGCACTGGAAAAGCCCAATCATCACGTCACCATTGATCATCCGTGCATTTGCATGTAACGCAACGTCATCCCAGTCGACTACAGCCTCTTTCTCTTCCAATTTCTCTTCCACTGTATAGTTTCTCGTATCGTTCATAACTTCGTCGACAATAGTCATACTGTTGCTAGCACTGTCAGACTGCACTTTTTCCTCAGCTTCAGCTTCAGCTTCCGTGTCCGAGTCCGAGTCCGAGTCCAATGCAATTGGTTTTGCTGCTGACCCTTCACTGTTCATCTTCCGTTTCCCCAATCTCGCCACTTGTCGATATCTCACGTCAAAAGACTGCGTTGCAATGGTCGAAAACTTAGAAAATAACGTCGGTTTGCTCCGATCTCGTAACGCATAGGGAGTTACCACTGGAAATGACTTTTTGCGTGCAAGTTTTGCAGCTTTTTCTCTCTTTTTTTCAGCCGGTGCCAGCGCATCCCGTGGAATAGACACTGGCTCTTGTACTTTCATATTCACCCATCCACTTGATCCTTGAAGTGGATTAAACTCGTCATTTTTTATTGAAATTGCCCCACTGGCCGCTTCCAATGACGAATATGCGAGCATTTTTGATTTTAAACCAGGTCCTCGATTTGTCCTGGTATTTTTCTTGGTCAGATTCGACAAAAAGTCAGTTTGTTGCTTGGGTGGAATAAAACCCTACATAATCATGAAAAAACACACATGTCTAATAAGTCATGGGTTTTTTAACTCTTGAAAATGTGGGTTTTTTTATACTTTGACAAGGACACTGTCTGGTGTGGCAGTAACGATAGAGGACCCGGGAATACTAATTCCTTGACCACTGGCTTTGGGTTTATTGGACGTATACTTGGGTGGATAATATCCTTCTTCCTTGGGTCGATCTCGGCTAAAATCAAAGTCCTGTCTATGCTTGTCCTGCCAGCTGTTGTTGTAATTATAGACAGGTCTTGATCTGTTTTTTGACAATAAAAATATAAAAAACTGTGAGAATTTATATTCAAAGTAGACAAAAATAACCGGATAAATAGACTTACGTGGGGCTAACGACGGAGCGATCAGAGAGACCCGTGGAAAGCTCGAGTGTGTGTGAATAATGGGAGATCCCAGAGCTTTTGTAATAGCGGTGGTTGGACGCGGCGGACGGTTGACGACGTGCTCCAAAGCGTCGATGACGTTCACGATGGTCTGCCATCGCCAACTTTGGGTTTTATGCTGACATACACAAGTATACACGTCCGGATAGTTTTTTGTCGCTGTAGGAAACAACGATAGTTTGGTTAAGTACGATCTAGATTTTGTAGTGAAATTTTGATTTAAAAAAACACAATAGCAATCAAAAGGGACATGAATTTGGGGACAGAATTGAAAATTTGTTGTACTGAATGTCCTCGCCCACTAACGTCAATGTAATAATGGTACAGTACTAATGACGACGGTATTTCGGTTTGGTGTCGAGGATTAGTGTTTGTCTTTATATTGACATGAACACCCACACCAGGGCAAACTTTTGGTAATGTGTATGATAAATGCGTAAAACAGCCGTTTGCCTCTTGGATCACCACGTAGCGTTCGATTCATTCATGGTTTTTCACCATGCTATATACTACGATCTTGTCGTATCTCCGTGTGGTGTGATGATGGATTGCCGTCGTCAATAAATATCATTCTGTCGATAATCGGGTGATACACCTGTTGCATTATCACTGCAATTGACAAAACCCGTCATGGCCGAAGCAGACAAAATTGTTGAAGATTACAAGGAGAATCAAATATCAAGTGACATCAAACGTTCGATTTGATTTCAATCGTTATAGCAACTAGCAACTACTTAGCTTGAATAGACGGCATAGGCGAGTCAATAGCCAAGAGCAGTAGAATGTAATTGACGACGAACGAAAGCTTTCCAGCATACTGTTTTCGTGTAATCAGGGAAGAGTTGAGCTCCTCCCGCTGTTGGCAGCGCTTACCATCCCCAGCCACGGCGTCCCCAGCCACCCCAGCCGCCGTGGCCCCAGCCGCCGTGGCCCCAGCCGCCGTGGCCCCAACCGCCGGGTCCCCAGCCACGATGTTCCCAATCCATTTCCTTTTGGTCGTCATCCTCGTTCAGCTCATCTGCAGTGGGCTGCATAGCTTCAGTTGCGGTGGCGTCGGTCGCGGTGGCGTCGGTAAGAGCTCGTAGCGCAGGCTTGTCAGCAGTAACGACGGTTAAGATCGTGGCAGCGAGTGCAGCAGCGACGGCGAAAGCTGTGAACTTCATGGTCTTAGCAGTACTGTGTGGGAGCTGGTTTAGATATCGGAGGCAAATTGCGTTGTGAGTTGAAATGAACAAGCAGGTAAGCAGGTTGTGAGTTCTCTCGGAGATCGAGGAAATTGCGTTAAGAAGCTGTGTCAACTGCCATCACATCAAGCGGGTACTGAGAAAGCTACGTCAACGTTGTAAACTGCACGGTCGACACCTAACTGTATTAACATATTTACGAAAGTGGTGATACAAAAATCAAAGCAAGTTAGACAGCTTTTCTTCCAATTCTTACACGTGCGAAGCGGTGATTGTGGAGAGACATTTTGACTCCTTCCAATCTCTTTCAGCGTAAAAACTGAGGAATTACCGTGAATACGGCTTGTTATTTTCCCGACAGTTGCAATGCTGCCCTTCCCAGGTCTCAAACCCCATTTGAACCACCAGTACATTATTTCTAAAGATTGTCTTGTTCACTTTATTACTCCATCAATGGGAAGACGGTGTTCACGTCGAATCTGTCTCGTCTGGACCCGCGTGCTCCTCCGGTTTCTTCAATTTTGCAGTTCCCTGATAGCATATGTTTTGCTCCGAACAGCTGGAAAGACGCAGCAAAGTTCTGCAAGGGGTGGAACTGTCCCTGTGATTATTGATAGCAGTGCTCTCAGTTTTGCACGAATCATCAACTTTATCGCGTTCATTTATGCACTGGTGTTTTTGATTTTTGTCGAATGGTTGCGATTGTGTGTGTACCACCCACACTACTCGGAACGACTAATGGATTTTGTAATCTTGGTGTGTCTCACGGTGGCTACGATCGTACTGCTACTATCAAATGTGACGCGACAGTGTCATGGACGTTTTGAACGTTTTGTTAATTGTGGTGAACTGTATTTTGCATTGGCCATGTCGTTTCTCTCGGCACTCGCGTTCTTGGGTATTCTAATGCTTGGCAAACGCAAGAATACAGCGAACACTCGAGATCAGCAACAGAGTGAAGGTCGTCCTGGGCACGAGAATGCCTACCAAGAAGAGAATACACCAGTCGCTACTGCAGTGTAATTACCGGTTGGATTACCGGTGTCGTCAGGCTCTGTAGTATACCGGTAATAGTACCGATAAGACGGCGGGATTGGAAGAAAAATGACGCTTTCTCGTCATCGCATTTTTCAATAGGCGCTGGATTGAACAAGATGTTGCGCTGGTCAACATGATCGTTTACTAGGTAATATCTCGTGATCTATACGTTGTTTATACATGTGAACTATCTCATCTGACGTGTCTAATTTTCCTCTTTTGATTGAACATTTTCATCTCTTTTTACCGACCTCTCTAGCACCCAAACGGAGAAGTATTCCCTTCTATCTTATTGCGATTCTCTTTTCTACTACTACTGGCTACAATTCGTCCGACGCGTCGTTCCGCAGCCCCTTATAAACTTTGCCATGTCTGTAGCTATGTATATGACCAATCGCAGGGTCTCCAGAGCCACCTATGCCGACAATGGCCTCCTCCTTTCATCTTGCTTTCTATCAAATGTTCCACTCTAAGTTCTGCAAGATTCAAACGGTACAAGAAGAAACAAGATGTATTATTACCAGCTATATAAAGCTCCGGAACAGCTTGTCGAGGCGTGTGGCAGCTTACTTGTTCTTGAGTCTATTAAAGATTGCCGGGTCTGCAATAACCCCCTCGTAATCCGACTTAAGATCCTTTGACATTGAGTCTTTCGGTTCAAGCCCGCGTTTTGTCTGATACCATTGTCGAAACAGCTCGAGACGCAACTCGGAGGCCGTTGCAATATCTTTCTTCCTCCACTCGGAGGCCGTTGCAATATCTTTCTTCCTCCACTCGGAGGCCGTTGCAATATCTTTCTTTCTCCACTCGAATTCAAGCATTTCGCCTATAAGCACTTCTTTATCAAGAAAAACATTCCTGGCTGCTGTAATCAGCACTTCCTTTGTCGGTGTAGGTTTGAACTTTTCCGCAAACGAATTGAAAAGCATCAGGTTCGGCTCGTGAAGAAGATTGTTAAGATCTTTGTCAAGTTTCAAATCCCTGAATACTTGACACACCACCTCTTTGAACGCACCTTTGCGTTTCTGAAGTTGTGCCACCAGCGTTTTCTCTAAGTTTTTCACAACGACTGCAGTGCCCGTAATATGTCTCAAATGGCCAAGAATCATCACACGGACGTCGAGATTGGAACCATTTATCGCCACTCCCATATTTATGTCAGAATAATCCCCCGTGGATTTTTTCACATACTGGACCCACATTGTAAGCAGGTTGTCGTAAAGCTTGTGGTCAGTCTTCTGTTCCAGCTTCAGCAGCTTGAAGACCTCAAGCGCAGATATTTTTTTCCTTTGCCAAGAAGCCATCAGTGCAGACTTCAATTCGTTCTGGATATCTTCTCCAACTCGAGCCTTTGCAAAAGCGTTAAACATCTCCACAAGGCCTGCATCATCGGTTATCTCCGAGAACTTCGCTATCAATGGTTTGGCAACTTGAATCGGATCGGATGCCTCTTCCACATACTTGGCCAATGTGTCAAAGTTTGGTTTGCTATCAGGTTGCAACATAGTAACGACGTCCTCAGGTTTCGAATCAGCCCAAGATTTTACCCGAGTATCCTGTGATGACTCCACAACCTCTTCAGTGCTCTTGATCTCTTTCAAATCATCAATAATCTTCAGACTGGTATTGTCATCGAAACCAGCTATCACTGCTTTCATGTCAAGCTTAGCATCTTTCATATACTCGGCCCACAGTGTAAGCCGTTTGATGTAAAGCTCGTGGTCAGTCTTCTGGTCCAGCTTCAGCAGCTTGAAGGCGTTAAGCGCAGGCATTTTTTTGCTTTGCCAAGAAGCCATCAGTGCAGACTTCAATTCGTTCTGGATATCTTCTCCAACTTGAGCCTTTGCAAAAGCGTCAAACAACTCCACAAGGCCTTCATCATCGGGACGTTCCGAGAACTTCGCTAACAATAGTTTGGCAACTTGAATCGGATCGGATGCTTCTACCACATACTTGGCCAATGTGTTAAAGTTTGGTTTGCTACCATGAAGCAGCATAGCAACGACGTCCTCAGGTTTCGTATTAGCCCAAGATTTTACCAGAGAATCTTGTAATGACTCCACAACCTCTTTGAAGCCCTTGATCTCTTTCAAATCATCAATAAGTTTCAGACTGGTAATGTCATCGAAACCAGCTATCACTGCTTTCATGTCAAGCTTAGCATCTTTCATATACTCGGCCCACAGTGTAAGCCGTTTGATGTAAAGCTCGTGGTCAGCTTGCTGGTCCAGCTTCAGCAGAATGAAGGCGTCATGCGCAGATTTTTTCCGACTTTTCCAAGAAGCCATCAGTGCAGAATTCAATTCGTTCTGAATATCTTCTCGGGCATTAGCCATTACCAAAGCTTCTAGCATCTTCAGAAGGCCTTCGTCACCGTGACGTCCCGTGAACTTTATTATCGCTGATACGGTGGCTGAAGAAGTGTCGGTTGATCGTGCCACATACTTTAACCACATGTCAAAGTTTGAATTGCTACCATGAAGCAGCATAGTAACGACGTCCTCAGGTTTCGTATTAGCCCAAGATTTTACCAGAGAATCTTGTAATGACTCCACAACCTCTTTGAAGCCCTTGATCTCTTTCAAATCATCAATAAGTTTCAGACTGGTAATGTCATCGAAACCAGCTATCACTGCTTTCATGTCAAGCTTAGCATCTTTCATATACTCGGCCCACAGTGTAAGCCGTTTGATGTAAAGCTCGTGGTCAGCTTGCTGGTCCAGCTTCAGCAGAATGAAGGCGTCATGCGCAGATTTTTTCCGACTTTTCCAAGAAGCCATCAGTGCAGAATTCAATTCGTTCTGAAGATCTTTTCGGGCATTAGCCATTACCAAAGCTTCTAGCATCTTCAAAAGGCCTTTATCACCGTATCGTCCCGTGAACTTTATTATCGCTGATACGGTGGCTGAAGAAGTGTCGGTTGATCGTGCCACATACTTTAACCACATGTCAAAGTTTGAATTGCTACCATGAAGCAGCATAGTAACGACGTCCTCAGGTTTCGTATTAGCCCAAGATTTTACCAGAGAATCTTGTAATGACTCCACAACCTCTTTGAAGCCCTTGATCTCTTTCAAATCATCAATAAGTTTCAGACTGGTAATGTCATCGATTCCAGCTATCACTGCTTTCATGTCAAGCTTAGCATCTTTCATATACTCGGCCCACAGTGTAAGCCGTTTGATGTAAAGCTCGTGGTCAGCTTGCTGGTCCAGCTTCAGCAGAATGAAGGCGTCATGCGCAGATTTTTTCCGACTTTTCCAAGAAGCCATCAGTGCAGAATTCAATTCGTTCTGAAGATCTTTTCGGGCATTAGCCATTACCAAAGCTTCTAGCATCTTCAAAAGGCCTTTATCACCGTATCGTCCCGTGAACTTTATTATCGCTGATACGGTGGCTGAAGAAGTGTCGGTTGATCGTGCCACATACTTTAACCACATGTCAAAGTTTGAATTGCTACCATGAAGCAGCATAGTAACGACGTCCTCAGGTTTCGTATTAGCCCAAGATTTCACCAGAGAATCTTGTAATGACTCCACAACCTCTTTGAAGCCCTTGATCTCTTTCAAATCATCAATAAGTTTCAGACTGGTAATGTCATCGATTCCAGCTATCACTGCTTTCATGTCAAGCTTAGCATTTTTCATATACTCGGCCCACAGTGTAAGCCGTTTGATGTAAAGCTCGTGGTCAGCTTGCTGGTCCAGCTTCAGCAGAATGAAGGCGTCACGCGCAGATTTTTTCCGACTTTTCCAAGAAGCCATCAGTGCAGAATTCAATTCGTTCTGAAGATCTTTTCGGGCATTAGCCATTACCAAAGCTTCTAGCATCTTCAAAAGGCCTTTATCACCGTATCGTCCCGTGAACTTTATTATCGCTGATACGGTGGCTGAAGAAGTGTCGGTTGATCGTGCCACATACTTTAACCACATGTCAAAGTTTGAATTGCTACCATGAAGCAGCATAGTAACGACGTCCTCAGGTTTCGTATTAGCCCAAGATTTCACCAGAGAATCTTGTAATGACTCCACAACCTCTTTGAAGCCCTTGATCTCTTTCAAATCATCAATAAGTTTCAGACTGGTAATGTCATCGATTCCAGCTATCACTGCTTTCATGTCAAGCTTAGCATTTTTCATATACTCGGCCCACAGTGTAAGCCGTTTGATGTAAAGCTCGTGGTCAGCTTGCTGGTCCAGCTTCAGCAGAATGAAGGCGTCATGCGCAGATTTTTTCCGACTTTTCCAAGAAGCCATCAGTGCAGAATTCAATTCGTTCTGAATATCTTCTCGGGCATTAGCCATTACCAAAGCTTCTAGCATCTTCAGAAGGCCTTTATCACCGTATCGTCCCGTGAACTTTATTATCGCTGATACGGTGGCTGAAGAAGTGTCGGTTGATCGTGCCACATACTTTAACCACATGTCAAAGTTTGAATTGCTACCATGAAGCAGCATAGTAACGACGTCCTCAGGTTTCGTATTAGCCCAAGATTTCACCAGAGAATCTTGTAATGACTCCACAACCTCTTTGAAGCCCTTGATCTCTTTCAAATCATTAATAATCTTCAGACTGGTAATGTCATCGATTCCAGCTATCACTGCTTCCATGTCAAGCTTAGCATTTTTCATATACTCGGCCCACATTGTAAGCCGTTTGATGTAAAGCTTATGGTTAGTTTGCTGGTCCAGCTTCAGCAGCTTGAAGGCGTCAAGCGCAGGCATTTTTTTGCTTTGCCAAGAAGCCATCAGTGCAGAATTCAATTCGTTCTGAAGATCTTTTCGGGCATTAGCCATTACCAAAGCTTCTAGCATCTTCAAAAGGCCTTTATCACCGTATCGTCCCGTGAACTTTATTATCGCTGATACGGTGGCTGAAGAAGTGTCGGTTGATCGTGCCACATACTTTAACCACTGTCAAAGTTTGAATTGCTACCATGAAGCAGCATAGTAACGACGTCCTCAGGTTTCGTATTAGCCCAAGAT